TCTGCCACTGCTGCTCCTCTTCATCTTTGCAAATGTCTTATTTACCTGTCTTTCTCTCTGAACTGTACCTTCTGAACAAGAGGGGTGTTGGGTGTTGTTCCTCACTTCCTTTTGTTCCTCTGAAATGCAGCATAGGAAAATCTATTTTTTATGTGTCCAGTCCTTATCTGGGGAGGGGTATTCTGTCCAATACGAAAACAAACTTTCATCACCCAATAGGCTGGAAGTTTGCTAGGCAAAAGACACTCTAGGCATCTCTATCTGTGCCACATGTCCACAGCCGGTAGAGCCACATCATCTTGCCCAATGAGTGGTTGGTAGTCAGAGCACTGGTCAGATGTAGCATCAAGCCCATCTGCCTTTGTCTGCCCCTTCAGGACAGAGTTAAAATTGAAAACGCAAGTTAGCCAGCAAGCACGGAACTGGAACAAATTTTAGGCTTAAACTGAATTTTGCAGGAAGTTCATCCCCTCTCTGCTGTAGCTCCTTGGCTAAGAGGTAGGAAGTGGTATTATCAAATACCTGATATAAACCACTGGGAAGTAAAATCCAATGCACCATAAATCCAATTTAGTTGAAGTAAGTAGAAGTGAGTAGTGCAAATATCTGTGCTAGCACTGGTGCTTGTTAACTTGTTCATTCATGATCTGGTGTTAGAAACAAGCAGTGAAATGGCTGTGTTTGTGGATGTCACTACATTATTCAGTGAAAGCCCAAGTAGACCCTAATGGGTCTAAAAGGATCTGTTCAGACTGGGTGAATACAGAAGTGGTAAATGAGGTTACATGCAAGTAAGGATTAAATGATTCATATTGGGGCAAAACACACCACCAACAAACCCCTTCACACCTGGGATCTGAACTGGAAATGACTAATCAGGAAAGATCTTGGGCCATGGCAGATTGCACAATGAACATGTCAACTCAGTGTGCAGTAGCTGTGAAAAAGCAAATTCCGTGCTAGCAATGATTAGAAAGGCACTGAAAATAAGAAGGCATTTTAATTACTTTATACAGCTCTATGGTTCAGACACATTTGGAACACTGTATAGTTCTGGTTTTGTTGTTGTTAGTCGTGAAGTCATGTCCGACCCATTGCAACCCCATGGACAACATTCCTCTAGGCCTTCCTGTCCTCTACCATCCCCCGGAGTCCACTCAAGCTCACACCAACTGCTTCAGTGACTCCATCTAGCCACCTCATTCTCTGCCGTCCCCTTCTTCTTTTGCCATCTATTGTTCCCAGCATTAGGCTCTTCTCCAGGGAGTCCTTCCTTCTCATTAGGTGGCCAAAGTATCTGAGTTTCATCTTCAGGATCTGGCCTTCTAAAGAGCAGTCAGGCTTGATCTCCTCTAGGACTGACTGGTTTGCTCTCCTTGCAGTCCAAGGGACTCGCAGGAGTCTTCCCCAGAACCACAATTCAAAGGCCTCAATTCTTCAGCGCTCAGCCTTCCTTATGGTCCAGCTTTCACAGCCATACATTGCAACTGGGAAAACCATAGCCTTGACTATACACACTTTTGTTGGCAGGGTGATGTCTCTGGTTTTTAGTATGCTGTCTAGATTTGCCATAGCTTTCCTCCCCAGGAGCAAGTGTCTTTTAATTTCTTGGCTACAGTCCCCATCTGCGGTGATCTTGGAGCCCAGGAAAATAAAATCTGTCACTACCTCCATTTCTTCCCCATCTATTTGCCAGGAAATGAGAGGACCGGATGCCATGATCTTAGTTTTCTTAATGTTGAGTTTCAAGCCAACTTTTGCGCTCTCCTCCTTCACCCACATCAAGAGGCTCTTTAGTTCCTCTTCACTTTCTGCCATGACAGTGGTATCATCTACATATCTGAGGTTGTTGATATTTCTCCCAGCAAGTTTAATTCCAACTGGTGACTAGTTCTGGTTGCCCCATTTCAAATGACAGAGGTTTATAAGGGGACACAATGCAGTTTTATCAAATTAATCATGGTATGAAGAAAAGCGATAGTTCCCCTCCCTCCTTTCATTCTAGAACTTTAGTCAATAAAATTGCTTAGCAGGTTCAGAGAAAAAAAGACAGTTCTTCACAGAATGCATAATGAATTTATGCATTCCAATACTGCTTCCAGGCTCCGACCTGGTTCATATGACATGATAGCCACGGGAAAAATAATTTCCTTAACCAAGCTTAACCCCTGGCTTGTTTAGCCTGTTAAATACAGCAGTCTAGGTTCAGACAGCATGCTCAGCAACCTAAGAAGGACCCAGATATACATTGCTGAATAATAGCAGAAGTGACGGGCACGCTGCAGGCAGTGAATCCAGTCTCTTCCACGTGCGCATGGCAGCCCATGGATTGTAAATCCATCAGCTGTCATGTTGTGTGGACAGCCTGGTAACTTAAATGTCTTTAAAAGGGAATTAAACAAATCCGCAAATGATGGATCCATCCTTGACTGTAGTCACCGTGGCCACATGGAATGTCGGAGTCTAGAGATCGCATGAAGACCTTTTCCTGAAAAGCAGCAACAGGCTTTGCCCGTGAGCATCCTGGAGTCATTTTGTCACCCACCCTGGCAATCAACATGCTGGTCTGATACAGCAAGGCTCTCATATTATTATGACTGATTTGGGGGAAAGTCGAATACAATACTACCTAATGGGAATATTGTGTTGTGAATATGTGGCCTTCAGGGGAGGGAGGAGCAAAGCTAAAGAAAGTTCCTTCCTACTTGCACTCCATTTTCTTTTTAATTTGGTTACTTTTAAGGATAAATATTGGACAGAATTCATGGCTGCGCTTTTCAGTAAGGAATGCAAATGCCCCATTTTCTGAACATGCTAACTTAAATCCTCATTGTTACCCTAGGCATCACTAATGCTGTCACTTCCTTATACTGTGATGCCAAAAATGTGTGCGTGTGCATTTACGACTCAAACTGGCTTTTATCGATCAGCCACAAAGCAATCCGTAATATGAACAAAATGGTCACTACAGCCCTGCCAAAAGAATCTGATGTTAATCAGTATCTCCTTGGCATCTCAATGAAAGCATTTTGGGTCATAAATGAAGCCTCATACTCTGCTGCATCCCACACATTGTCTGCCTGTCTGTCCAATGTGATTTTCAACAAGAAATGACACACGCTGGGAAAGAAAAGGCGATGAACCCGTTTCCCAGTTTTTCACATAACTAGATTGACAGAAATGAATGCTAAGAATTATCTCAACGTGCAGTGAGATTTATGAATTTCTGAGCTAAATGTATGTATCCTATTTACTTACCAAGTAATAAAAGATTTATGGATTCTTCCCAAATGGTCAGGTAGTTTAGTCTAAGAGCAGATGTCATCACTCACAACCAAACCAACCAAACAAACACACTCAGGCCAACTTTATTTATGATGGCAATTACCATCATGGGTCAATGAGTGCTGAGTATACAACCAGCCCTGTGCAGTTCACACTAATACATGTTGAATAACTGCAACTGACACAGTCATATAAACATATTAACTTACATACACTTGCCCATTTAGTAGACTTCTAACAATCTTCTGTGAAGGTCCATTAGGTCAGACACAATACGCATGCCATATTAGGATTGTTGTTTGGTTTAATTGCATTTTGATAGTAAAATTTAAATAAAACAATACAGAGGAAAATAAAAAGTTGTAGCTACATAGTTTTGAATATACCAATTTCAATGCATGCATACAAAAATGCATTGCAGTTTTCTAAGAATTGTAGATAAACTTCAACAAAGTAGACTAAGTATCAGTGCAAGTGTTCATTCACAAGTGGTATCTCTATTCTACCCATTCAAATGTTGAATTACACTAAAGGAGGTGAATTGATACTACAGCATTGGAAGGGTAAACAAAGTCTTGTGGCTGTCAAAAGAGCACCTAGAATGCATTTGCACTGATCATGTGGCAGCTTCCAGGAAGCAGAGAGGTAATTTAAGTGGGCATGTATATCAGCAAAAATTGAAAGTGTTCAGATACAAGATTTATCCATATAATAACCTCCCTCTCACAAAGAGCAACTATTGGGGATTGTTTAAACATTATGGTTAAAAAAGCATTGGTTATATTAAAAATCTTAATCACAGTAACCTTTTTTTTTCATGTCCTACTTTCTAGGAAGACAGGAAGCTGATTGCACGCCTCTTTTGTGTGACAGCCCTTCAGTGTTCCCCTATCTAGGCTACCCCACCTCTTCCCAAGGCTAAACATGCCTTTTCTTTGTAGTCCCCCTTACCATTCTTGCCCTTCTCTGAACATTTCCTAGCTTTATTAGAAACCTTCTTAAAGTGTGGCATCCAGAACTGAACCCAGTATTTGAGGTGAGGTTTGCAACAATCAGAGAACTATTACTTCCCATGATTGAGAAGCTATTCTTCAATTGAGACAAACTTAAAATTACCTTTAAAAGGGGGAAAAATCGTATGCCATAATACACAAACCCCGCAGTTATTCAGCATATAGAAAGAGCTACTAACAAGTGGGAACTAACAAAAGTTGTGTAAATATGGAACGAGAGCCCAGTCTAGAAAGAGAGATCCTGGATGTCGGTTTGCTGTACAGTGGATATGGGGAAATGCCTCCGCATTTCTGCTTTCCGTCCGCGAAAAAGTAGTCAGACAGTGGCAGGCCAGCAGCACGTGGGTGGAAGCCTCCCTGTGCACAGAGGTCTGTGCAATCTGGGCTGCGGCGAGCGAATGCGGGAGCGGGGAGGGAACGCGTGTTCGTGCTTCCCCGGCCTTTCCCGGCTCGGACGCCAAGGTTTGCCTTTGGATTATAATAAAGGCCGTGTGAGGGGCGGGGGGCAGTGCCCAACCAAAACAAAGGCAGCCTTCTGATCATCCTCAGTGCTTTTTTCCGATTGAGCTCTCCGGCTTTTTGAATCTCCCCGCCCCCATTTAATCCCAGGGCATCCCCTCCCCCTGGAGCGGTCGGCCGGCTGAAGGGCAATCCCGCTGCTGCGCGCTGTTGCCTCGCTAGTTTGGCCTCCTCCTCTCCCTCGAGCAGCCGCCATACTGAGGACAACTCAAACTTATCGGGCACCAAATGCTCCTCCTGCTTTCGCCGCAACCGCCCTCCTTTCTGTTCCCATCAGTTGTTGCGCTGTTGGCAAGGCTCCAGCCCAACCTGCTCTTGGAAGAGGTGAGGAAGAACTGAAAAGCGAATAAATAAAGTACTTGGAGCGAAGCGGGAGAGCAGGTAAGAGCTTTTGCATGTAACATGATGCATGCTGCTGGTTGCATAGCCTCCCCGGTTCAGCCTGCTGCAGCGGGGGGCGGAGGGAGGAGGAGGAGGAGGAGGAGGCACACCAACGAGTAGTCTCCCTTCTTCTGCAGCTCCTTCAGTTCATTGAACGATCTTGGAAGCGGAGCGACGTTCCCAGGTTTGTGTTTGCAGAAATCCGAGTTCTTGGCTAGAGTAACGCGGGGAGGCGGTTGTTTTTGTGCCATGAGGGCGATGTTGGAATTTGAAGTGAGCTAGTTGAAAGCGGAGGGAGAGCCATGGACGGCGGAGGCTGGTGGATGTTGCAAATACCGTGTGTGCGTGTGCATGTGTTGAGAAATAGGTGTACCAGGCAAGCACTAGGATCGCTCGGTTGGAAGGAAAAATGCCCAAAAGATACTGCACAGGGCCTTGACAAAGCGGGTTTTCCAGAATTGTGGAGGGTTTGTCCTGCGGTATTCTCAGCCAGGTTATAGGGGGTTGTGTGGTCGCTTCAAAATCGCGGGGGATTATAAAGAAACCTGGAGTTATCACGGGTGTCTGTCGCCTCCAGAAAGTCCCCCACGGAGCAGCGGGTTGTTGGTTGTGACCGTCTGAAACTGGGTTCCTCCCTTTACCTTCCATATGGAAGGCTACGAGCGAGCGTTGAAACTGCACAAAACCTTTCCTCTTGTCTATGGCGATTGTATTTGTGGTGAGCAAAGGAGTCCAGGGTGTGTGTTACTTATTGCTTTGGGCTTCTTTAAAGATTGCAATTTTATTTCAGTGGCTGTTGCTTCCCACCCTTCACAGTTTCGCAGAAAGAGCTTGTGAAGTGGCCATTGCTTATAGAGTCCAAGATTTCTTCCTTTATAAGCGGTGTTAATATGTAGTTCACCTGCCTCAATCTCCAACAGTCTCCTACGTGTACACGCATTCACTCTTTCCCCGCCGCCCAGCTTATATTCTGGTCCCCTTTGTGTGCGGGTTTCAGTGGAAGAGATGGGTTCCCACTGTTGCTATGTCATGATTTAAGGGGCTGTGTCTGTCTTTCTGATCCTTCACATGCCTGTTGTTGGTCGTTTAAATGACCTCCTCCTTCCCTAGTGAGGATTTTTATAGGAGCTTCTTGTAATGATTGAGTAGCTGTGGAAAAAACCCAAGTGAAGGAGGGAGGGAAACAGCAATTCACCTACCAATGATATAAAATAAAATCTATTAAACCCAAAAGGAATGCAGACCTTTTCATTTCCAATTGTAGTGCAGTTTACAAAAGACTGTCTTGCACACCCAGTATTATTTTTATGGTTATCTTTGCGTCTTTCTGTCAGTGTGAGAAATGCTTGCCAAGAAGGTAGCATTTCCCAGCCTGGTTTGTGCTCTCCAAAAGTGTTAGCAGGCAACTCCCCTGAGTACCAACTGGGGATGGTGGGAGTTATGGTCCAATAGCTGGGTGGCATAGGTTAGGAAAGGCTGCACTAAAGTAATAAAAACTAGTCCATGGTTAAGGGCCTTTTCTTGACCCAGAATCTGTGGGTTTCCTCTGTGGAAAACAATGGTACACTGTATGTATTGTATAAACAAATCACTGCAGCATGACAGTTTGATGAGTTTCCTCTCCAAACCATGTTAGCTATTCCTCACAGTGTTACTTCCCCAAGGCAATAAAAGAGTGTTGCATTTTGTTCATTGAGAACAGATAGTACTTCCAGTAGTAGGAGTAGTAGGGCCCAGAGGTAGGTTAAGGCAAGGAAACTCTTTTGAGTCTGTATCTGCAGGTCAGGGATACAGTGTTTTGGAACATGCTTTTCAGTCTGAGATGATGAGTAGGACTGGACTGCACCTGTTGTAGCCAAGTGCCTGTCCTCAATTTGGTCCTCAGCTACTGACAGTATAAACATGTAAAAGAAATATAATTGATTTTTATTCAATTTCTTTGCTAAATCTAAAACTGCAAAGCATTTTTCTGGGATTATTTTAGGCCTTTAATTGTACATATATTCTTACCATTTCAACATGATCTTGTTATATTTTGGTTGATGTTAGTGGATTTTAAAACAAGACCTTTCCAAAGCAAAATGACATCAGGTACCTTGGGAAGTCTTCATTTTCTCCTAACTCATTATAATTGGAAGGCTTCAACACTGTCTTGGCATTATTTGGAAGCGTGATCTGAAGATGCTGGAGTGCTTTCATGTTGAGGCTTTGTACTTGCCAAAGGGTGTGTTCAAAACAGGGTAATATTGCACAATGTTTTAGCCTGCAGTAAAAAGAGTGCCTGATAAAATGGCTTTATCATGTAGTTGATACTGTAGTGTAAACATTACCTGGCCATGGAATGGGTGGGAAGGTAAGAATGTTTCTAACAGGACTCAAAATGCATTGGCTGTGTTGGTCCTGGTACATAACAGGAGTGTCACACAGTTGAGGCTTCCTCCTTGGGAGCATTTTATTCCTTTTCCAAACGGGTGGAGAGCACCAAGTTGCAGAATGCTGCCATCATAAATAGTCTTATTCTCATTGACTGTATGGGTGGTACATCCTCCAGCGAAGCCACATTTAGAGGCAGAAGACTCAAGCAATTGTCTTTGGTGCTGGGCTTGGGCTGGATGCTGCCTCTTCATCTTCTGCAGTCAACAGCTGAGCAAACAGTACAAATACTTCACTTGTAAAGCTGGCAACACTGATCTGTGGAGCCAGTGTTGTCTTATTTATTTGGGTGGCAAATTTATGTCACTGTTTATTCAACAGATGGTGTGCATGTCAGTGATCGATCAGATCGACATGTACGCATGTGTCATACTATATGCCAGGGCTAAATTGTTCATGTGAATCAAAGCTTTGGAATAGTCTACAAGTACAATCAAAATGATGTCCAAAATTGAACAAATGGAGGGCATTTCCTTGCTTGCAATGTTCCTGGTCCACTGTCTCTCCTTCCTTGTTGCCTATGCCTATTTTTAATAATAAGGATATACTTTTGGGTGCTAGTCAACTAGACTAATCTTCAGTGAGCACCCTTTACCAGTATGGGCCCTTTTTCATATTTTGGCCTTCAGGTCCCATCATCCAAGACCATTGCCCATGATGGGAATTGTAGTACAAAACATCTGGAGGAATCTTTAGAGTCATAGAATATTAGAGTTGGAAGGGCCCAGAAGACCATCTTCTGCTGTTGCAGGACACTGAGTTACACCATTCCATTCAGATGATTGTCTGGACACTCCAGTGTGGGGGAGCCTACTGCTTCCTCTGGTAAGAGGAACATTGTCATGTTGCTCTGACAGTGAGGAAATTCATCCTGATGTCTAGTCTAAATCTGGTTTCTTTTAACTTAAGTTCTTTATTTGGTGTCCTGCACTCTGGAATGACAGAAGGGTCTTGACCTTCCTCTTTGTGACAGCCTTTGAGGTACTTGTAGAGTGCTATCATATCCTCCCTAACTTTTCTCTTCTTGAGGCTGAACATGCCTAGTTCTCAATCCTTCCTCTTAGGGCTTTGCCTCCAGCCCCTGGAGACAAAACATCCCTGAAAGGTTCTATTCCTGATCTTTCAGGCAAGCTATGTTGATCAAGTTCCTTGCCTTTCCTGCTGGGATTGAATTGCCTGATTAAATAAAATGAATGAATAAACTAATTCTAGAACTCCGGGTAACTTCCAGACAGTCCAGTTCTGCAGTTAAATATTCACTTCTAGAGGCATATCGACTCATACTCTGTCTGAATTCAGCTCCCCTCATTCCTAACCGGAGTGGATTTGATTCAGATCAAATTGATTTAAATCACTAGTCAGTAAGATTAGATTTAAATAATGGTTTTCTTGATAATTAGCATGCATGCCTTCCTGCCTTTCCCATAGGTTGAGGAACTTAATTAAAATATTCCCAAGCTGTCTCTTTTACCTCTTGCTGCCATTATAGGTCTCCTCCTCCAGGGAAATAATAAACCTCAGGCTATATGCAAAAAGATCAAAATTCTTGTGGAGTATTCTACTCAAAAGGTTTCATTTTCATTTTTACTGTTTCATTTTCATTTTTACCCTCACTCACACTTAACTTCTTGTATAGATCTACTCCCAACAATCTTTTTCTGTTCATTGAATTTTTTAAACTTAGCACTTAAGAGGTAAGGGGGTGATTCTGTGTACATAGATTTGCACAGGAACAATGGGATTATGATCTTTTTCTCAAGTCTGTATGTTTATTTTATAACATTTTTGCTGTGACAAAGAGGCATGTGATCTCTGTAGACACAAATTCACAGTTTTGAGAACTGTAAAACCAAGCATCTGTGATAATATCTTCTGTGCAGAAGAAATGCCCAATAATCTTACAGAAACCACTGGAGGAGCATGACATTGTGAATGGATTAATGGAATTTATTTACTAAAATTTTTAAACACCACATGAATATACAGCCCTATGCTCTGTAATTAAAGACTAATCCTTAATTTATGCCAAATAACCTTTGGACTGTGATGCATCTTAAACAGAACATTATATTTAGCTAGATTTTTCCTCAAAAATAATTTTATGTAAAGAATTGAATTTAATGTAAAACATCCAATTTAAAATGTGAAAGATCCACTTTTGATTATTTTTTTAAAAAGTCATTGATTTTTATCCACCCTGCTCCTAACCAGGATGGAATGCTGGGAGTTGTAGTCCAAAATTTCCAGAGGGTGCTATCATTCACCATGCTGGTGTATTTTAAACAGGAACACTCTGTAGTTGATCAAATGTTGGCATTGTTAACTTGATCAGTCTCCCCCCTCACCCAGCTCCGTTCAGCAGTTACTGTTTGGTTCCAGTTGCAACTTGGTCATGTAGCTCTGCCAGTGCACAGCTGGTTCTGTTGTTGCAGAGATGATCTGAATGAATTAGCCTTCAGACGTTTTCCAGGATAACTGGGATAGCTTAATACTGTAAGAGGAATTCAGGAAGGCACATGTTGTACTACATTCCATTCTAAGAAAATTAAATACTGAAAGTGGCCATT